GCGGCTGACTCGACGAACCACTTCCCAGCATGAATTGCTTTGCAGTAAGATCGTGGAGTGGCCCTGACCCTCTTTGTTTGTAAACACGTTCTAAGGTCACAGGTTTTGGTGCGTTACGCCAGTGATCAAATGGCCGCGAAGTGCGTGATTGCCGAGAGGCAGGCGTCGAGGCATCCAGGCAGCAAAACGCCTCAGCCACGCAAATGGTGGTCAAGTGTGAAGAGTGCGAAGAAAGATAGCTTGGGATAGCAATGTGTGGTCTGTATCTCGTCAGTCTTGATGGCTCCTAGCTCGAAGGACTGCGAGGGAATATGGAAAGGATTGCGAGCAGTAAGAGGCAAGGAAGTGCGTACACGGAGCACTTGAAGTGGAACTGTAGTGAGGATAAAGTGCACACTCAGTCATATCTTCTTTTCGCTGTGTGCATGATATGAATATACACAAACATTACCATATATATATATATATATATATATATATATTCCATCTATATACACATATAACGAGACCCCCGTGTTCTGCCACGTATTGCCCCTGCCTGTTGCCTGCTGTAGTCGTACTAGTGGCATCTTGCATTCTTTTTCTATGGGCCATATCTATGGTGAGGACACCATAATTTGTTCGCGACCATTTTCAAGATGTTACGCCCGGTACATTCCGAGGTTTAGGTAGATGAGACAAAACATTTTCTGACTTAAGATGTCGAGGAACTCACAAGAATGGATGAAAATAGGAGGAAAACAATGAGCCGTAGCGTTTTGACACCAAACATTCTCAAATATGAGAGTCATGCTCAGAAAATGATTGTTTCGTTTGTGCGATACTTTTGTCGGGAAGATCGTGTTTATGGGATCGCGTCCGTGCGTGCGCGTCATCGTTTTCAACTAACCTGATCATACAGAATGCTCCAGATCGCTCCCAAATATTCGAGCAGAGTAAATTCACCCGGTTAAGACGGTTGTTAACCCGGCACTGCCGGGCTGGATCAATTCGCACAGATACGATGCCTTAGAGCACATCTGCACCGCTGTTACAATATTTCCATCAGCAGTAACAAACTGCGCGGAGGTGTGGGTATTGCATTGATAAATAGTGATGGCTTTGACCTATCAACGGGGATGGTCGACCTCCGACGCGTGATCCACATATGTCATGTTCGTATGTCATAGGAATGCCACTCACATGCTACTACATCCCTTTGTAAGTTCAGATTACATGTAGGCACATTTGGAGATACAATATGGTAATGGTCATCACCATTTGTCGTATTTGGTTCGTGGCCGTTTCACAACTTAACCTGAGCTGACCAGACGCACATCAATTCGGTCTCAATTGTGCCTGAAACTAGGGTGCAATGATGGCCGCTTTCTCATGAACAAGGACGGCAGCCTTGTGCGATGCCTCCCGCAGGATCTCTGAATAAAACGACTCTCGCTAAAGGACACATAAGCACTTGCAGAAATACAGGAGATCTTACGTTATTCATAATCTGTGATGTAAAAGACTGCATAATCAAGGTTGTTTCCAGTCAGAATCATATGAGTCATAGTCATAGTCATAGTCGCGATAACAGCAAGAGTCAACGGCCGACTTATGAATGACTATGATCCGGCCGACCATAGCGTAGACACGATGGTGGGAACGAGGTGGACGGCCTGAAGCAAACGATCCACGTTTCACTTGGTCAAGTTTGAATGTATCTGTGCATGTAATTATGTCTCATAAACAGTCAACCAAAAACAACGCTACGCTGGCATTTTTGTCAACAAAAACGGAGATAAAGACAAAGGCATAGACAAAGAAAGGCAAGACAAAGTCAAAGACAAGGACAAAGACAAAATCAAAGTCAAAGACAAAAACATCTCCGAACGACAAAGGCAAAGATATCACCGGACGACGAAGGCAAAGACGCACACACAAAACAAATTTATATCATCGTAAGTTGACAGCTGTGATGACGTAACATGCATCCAACCTACGTAACGCAATGTGTTGTTCACAGCGCATCCTTGAACGTGGTCCGCTTGTGTTGTGCTGCACGTCATGCCATGGAGCCATATGCATGCATGAGAGCGCTTTATGAGCCTGAGGCATTTGACGATTCACCGTGTGATTCACGTCTGTGCCAACCTGTCTGTTGCTGAGGGGTGTGCTGATACAGAGTCCCAGCGCACAAGCAATGTTGCATGCTGTGACACAGATCGTGAATTTGTGGTTGCATCATGTAGACTTAATGGAGGTAACAGGTGCGGGGCAAAAGAAGATCACACTCGCTCTTCTTGGTGATCTCTTCTTGCAGATGCAAGCAAGGAGAATGCCGTTTTAAATTGTTCTTAGATAGGGAGTACGAAAAATACCCGCAAGAAAATGCATTCAGCAGTTCACGGGCCGTTTCAGTCGGCATCAAGCGTTGGCGTTCCCAACTGAAAATAAGGTGTCAGGATTCTCTAGCCGGCTTGACGATTTTGAATGTTTTCCAAACGTAACTTACAATGCTTCTTCCTTGTGCAGCGTGAGCTGTTGCATTTCACAAATAAGGGTTTTACCCGCAACTTTTCAAACCTGTTTATCACTTGTTACAACATATTTTGTAAATCGTGCATCATTTGTCGAAAGCCTGTTATGCCCGACCTTCCATTAACAATGGAGGCTTTTCAAATCTCTCGCCAACGTTCAGAATGTCGGAGACAGGCGAAGCTACGAAGCTAGCTAGCTCAACCGAAGCTTCGCGCAAGAGGCGAAGCTCGGGCTTGTCCGCATTCTGAGCGATGACATCGTATTCGACATGGTATTCGACATCGACATCATGAGCAAATGACATCGTATTCAGAGCGATGTCATTTGCCACTCCCGATTGTGCCATCCGGTAGGTCCATTCAGGACAGGTCAAAGGAATACTGAGCTGATGAAAACACCTGAGGTCCTTCGCTCATTAAGTGCACTATTTCATGCAATGCTCTCAAATGACATAGATCTTTTTTCATGGAATTTATCACCCCCAGAGAAGTAAAGATTTACGTGGTTGACGGTATCGGTCGTCGTTATTCCTTCTGCTCTGTTTTTCCCTGACGTTCCGCCTGTCATTTAAGTTTCTCAACCTTTTCTCCAAGTTGTAACGCTCCGTATATGTATATATATATATATATATAT